CTTCTGCTTCCTGATTTGCTAAAGTAAGTTGGATCACATGGGGCTGAGAACGGGGCCCACCCAATGAACAAACTCCATTTGAGTCCTGTAGGTGAGTGGCAGTGACTCCTTGGTGGCTCAGGAGTTAGACCCAGTGACTACTCCCAGCCTATGGAGAGACGAAGTGGAGAGCTCTTTGGTGACACAATGGGGTGGGATTCCCTACCTGCCTGCAGAGACGTGGTAGCGAGGCTCTGAGTTAGGTGAGAGAAATGCCAGTTCTGATGCTTTTGAGGTTCTCCCCAACTCTCCCCAAGCTGAGAAGGTTCCATCTGTCCGCAGCAGGGCAGTGTGACAGGAAGAGCATGAAGCTCAGAATCATAAGATCTGGGTGTGCTCTTGTGTTTATCAGCTGTGGGTCTTGGGGTAAATGTCACGATCTGGATGGGCAGCCTCTGATGCGTAGGATCTGCTCTGGAAAATGAGCTGAATTCAACAGTTCTGCTCATCCTCCTTGGCTCCTGCCCTGTCGAGAGTTTGGTGGCAGCTGATAAAGGAAGGCCCCCTTCTGCTTTTGTTTTTCCTCGATCTCATGCCATCTGATACTAAGTTTTCTTACTCTTATCCTCCTTTTCTTGACTTTCCACAGAAGAATTTGCCACTGAGTTTAATAAACTTTGAACACACAGCAGTCAGAAAAGATCCTCTCTTTTTCCCATCTTGAGAGTCCTATTTGCCTGCCGCCGAGGTCAGGGGCAAGCTCCAATAAGCCCAATCAACACCTGCCTCTCAGCTTCCCTGCTTCTGTGTCACGCTGAGAGGCTGGAGGGAAGGATGAGCCTGTTTCCAGGGATGATCACGAGCACCCTGAAATGTCTTATAAAATCAACCAGATAGCAATTTATAGAAAAATTCCCTCCCTTTGAGAAGGGCTTCGGGGACGGATGGCCAAGGGCAACTCCGGGGGCCATGGCGTCTTCTCCCTCACATCTCTCTGGGCTACATTTGCTGGTTTTAATGACACAAAGGATGGGTCCCCTTTTCTCCAGGCCCATGTAGATGTGTAAGGGGCCTGCTGGTCACTTTCTGCCTAGATCACAGCAGCTCTCCACAGCTAATCCAACCTGATTCTTTTTATTGCTAGAGGTGACGTCAGGGGTGGAAATGTTCAGCTGTGTCCCAAGATCCCCATGGGTGTGTGCACGCATGTGCGTATGTGTGTGTGTTTGCGTGTATATATGTACGTGCGAGAAGAGGGGAGAGGCAACTGCAGCTCTGGCCAGGCAGGAAAACCATCTTTGAGGAACTGATCACCACAAACTGGGGGGATCCCATCTCACTTTTGGATCAAATTGCATTTCGGCAGCTCACACAAGAAAAACTGCTTTCATGCCTTGGAGGGGAAAGAAAATGAGGAAAGTCCACTTTTTCTCCCTGTAGGCCTTGTTCTGGCCTGAGAACATGGTTTAAATTATTCCAGTCACAGGCAGGCTATTCAAATAAAATAGAATTTCAAACCACACGGGGCTTGTTGAGACATTCAGGCTGCTCGGGTGTGTGAAAGGCAGGGGGCTGGGGTGGTGTCAGCCGCCACTCTGCCGTGCTCTTTATTACCAGCAGCTGCAATGCCAGACACATCCGCGGGTGTCTCAAAGCCGAGGCGGATTCGAGCAGGTCTGACAGCAAGTGTGCACATGAAAGCCACTGCAAGCCCTCCCTCCCCGGTGGCAACTTTAATTATTTGAACTGGAGCTCAGAAAAATAAAAATAAAAATAAAATCAGAATATATTGTAAGTGGCTCCCCAGTTTCCTGCAGAGAAGAGCTTGTGGCAGAGAGGAGGAACACAAAAAGAAAACCAAAACCACAACGTTCTCTCTTGTTTGTGGCTGGGCGAGGCAGAGCTCTTTAAATATTCATGCCCCATGTGTAACTGTGCAGAGAGATAGGAGGCGGCCGTGGTAGTCAGCAAGAGCAGGCTGCAGGAACCTGGAGGGAGGACGTGGGAGTGGGGCAGGCTTCTAGAATGCCCTGGAAGTTGGATTGGCACAAAGGCACACTGTGGCTATACCTCCATCGTGGGGGACCCTTGACCTGGTTTCATATGCTCTCCCACCCGCTTCTCTTCGCCCCTGCCTTCATCATTTCTCATCCCTTTTCTGACTCATCTTTCTAAAAGACAAGTGACATCACGCTTTCTGGGGCCACAGGCAGGTGAGGAAGACTCTCTGCATGGGCTCAGAATGAATTTCAGTCACAACTGGCAAGCACACCTATGGCCAATAGCTCTGAAGTCTCAGCATGCCTCCAAATCACTGAGGATGGGGTTTAAAAATGCAGAGCCCTGGGCCCCACACTTAGCGCTGTCATTCAGTAGGTCCAGGGTGGGTCATCTGTTACATTTTCCAGGTGAATGTAATTGGTAAAACATAGAACTACTGGTTAACTCACTTCTAGATGTTGCAGGAAATTCTTGAAGATGACACCAGTTCTTCTCTGGGAATCCACTGATGAGGGTAGTGTTTCTTGAGATAGTCTACAATTACTTTAACTTCCCGGAGACCAGAACTGAGCTGGGTTTGGAGAAAGTCCTTCGTGGTAGGCATCAACCCCAGAACTCAGCTGGACCTGTCGCCAGTCCCTGTAGGCCTGATGCTCATCAGAGACCTGTCCCCAAAACTCTGTCTAGCGTCCACCTTTCTGCACTTGGGCCCCATAGGCAACAGAGGCCCCTGTAGGGCTGGTGGGGTTTGAAAACCCTGAGTGAACCTCACATAGTCTCCCAGAGAAATGCAATATCCATTTTTTTTCTGCCACTGGGGTTTAGCCTGCCTGGGAGGAGGAAATCAACTTCCTGCATTCTGCATTTAGGATTCACATAAAATAAATGGTAGGGCTTACAAATCTAGAAATGCATATTTCTATTTTGGTTATTTATTTTCCTGATAAAAACATTTCTCCCAACATTGGGAATTCAAAGACCCATCAGCATTTAGACAAATGGTCTGAAAACCTGAATGTGAAATCATATGAATATATATAAATATAAATAATGTGTGTGTGGAATGGACTTATTTCCCTTCCCTTCATTATGCCTGCTGAGCCAAGTTCTGGAAAAGGGCAGGAAATAGCAGAAACAGCCCAGAGCAAATTAGACTGCAGGAAAAATAAAACAGGCCAGTAAAACAAAACACCTGTTTAAGCTATTGATCAACTCAAAGGTTATTAGAGAAATGATGAAGTATTAGAATAATATCATTTGTACCTTGACATTTCTTTTTCTGAAATTTGGCTCATATTAAACCCAGCGAAGAGTAATTTTAAAGACCAAATGCTCTTAAGGATCCTCCTGTCCTCTCCGGTGGGCCAACCATCTGTCCTCATTTATATGTTCTCTTAAAAAGCCTTCCTTTCTAGGTACCTGCTCTCAGACACCTGAGAAATATCAGCAATGACTGTGTAATTCTACCATCTGCATGAGATAGCATGGTTTCTCAAATACAATTTAATATAATGAATCTATTTGTGCTCAGAATTCTTCCAAAAAGGATTTAAGGTGGTTCACAGAGATACATAAAATCTAGTAGGATAGCATAGCCTAGAAGAGGGTGAGAAGGAAGTGGCGAACGTCAAGTTATAAAATCAAACCAGGAGTAAGCTGCTACAAATTGCATATCCCAAAGTCCCATTTGCTTGCCAAGTGGAGCCTTGGTTTTAATTTAACCACTCCCCGTATTAAAAAATCATTTCTACATCTTTTCCATTCTTGTTTGTTTTCTGTCTGTGAGTTTTTATTTTATGAGAAACTCAAGGGGCTTGAATCTGCCTGCATCCCTCAGCAGGGGCAATCCTGTTGTCTGTCCCTCTGCTGGTCACAGAACTACCTCCCTGGGATTTCTGTGAGCCACAGAAGAAGTGAATCTGGTCAGTTTCACAATGTCCACAACTTGACAGGAAACAAATTGCTCAGAGGGTGCATAGCTATTCCTGAAACTGAGCCAGACAGGAATTTCTCCTGTGAGTGTCCAGAACGAGATGACTGGCCAAATCTAAACTACATGCAGGTTTTCTACTACGTGCAAGATGTTGATGCAGGTGCAGTGAGGGAGTACAAAGAAGCACAAGACATGGCCTGCTCTCTCGGAGCTTAGAGTCTGATTTCTGGCTCAAGTTCTCTTCCTCTTTCCCCAGTGTCCTTCTGAATGTTTACACAGCGCACCAGGCACCCTGTGGGCTAAAGACTGCAGTGCTTACTTTGTACCCGATGCTCTTCCAAGCCCTTTGGACATTATCTATTTAATCTTCCCTCTTCGGGGTAGGCATTCTGTGTGTTCACTTTCCCAGTTAGGAAACTGAAGCCCCAAGAGGTTAATTAACTGCCCAAACACACTGTACAATCAATCAGTGGTGGAACCTGACTTGGACTCAGAAAGTTGATTCTAGAGTCCATGAGCTTAATCACTGTGCCATGTTGGGGTCTTAAGTACATTTCTTGGCCCCTAAAGAATATGCTGAGGAACATGGCACCAGTCCCTCCATCCACAAACCAATGAGAAAACAGCGTCAGGAACCATTTCAGAGAGTGACTTTGGAGGTACCTCACTGAATGCCATTGATGTCTTAGTGAAATTTATGTAAATCAAATTTTGAGGATGTATAGTATTTACAATGTATTATAAGAGCTCAATATTTTTAAAAAGGATTCTGTGGAAAGTCTTGTAATCCTTGTCACTCTCTCTTGTTATGCCGCAGAAAATCTCTTCTGGGATTGATTAAATCATGGTTCCGCTGCAAATAGTTCAGGGCAGCTGGGGATGGCTGTTTAAGGCATGATTCTCTGTAGACAGGGCTTTACCATGTTGATGGACATGCTCTGCCTCGAAGATGGCAGAGATGGCCCTATTCTTCTCTCTGCAGGAGAACGACCAGCCCAACCAGCTAGGCTGCTTTCTTAATCTGGGTTCCGGAAGTGACAAGAGGTGTGGGGAGAAATTAGAGAACTAGAGAAACACTGAGACTTGCCTCACATGGAGAGCTCTTGATCGGTGCGGGAAACGTAGCACTGGTCACTGTAGCACTTTCTGAAGTGGGGACATCAGTGGTACTGAGCAATAGAGCGTGGTCTAGGAGAGAGGAAAAGAATCACAAGCACACCATTATCAGGAACTGGGGGATCAGGGGAGCAGGGTTATTGGACTGTGCACAGTTCTTATCCAGCCTAGGGATATCTTTGGGGAAACAGGTTTTTGGCCTACAATGGAGAAGAAAGCCCACCTGTCAACAATTTCATTCTAAACTGCCCATGAGGTCCCAGCACCATCATCTGGGCTACCACATCCCTGATCTTCCAAGGTCACCAGCTTCAGCCCATGGCCCAGGAATAGCCTGAGGCACACTAGCCTCCCCAGCTCCACCCTCCCCATTTTCAGTCATGTGTGCCCTTCCGGTGGTTTCTATGACCTTCACTCTCTTCTCCCCTGTCTAGAACCCAGGTCATCCTGTGTCCTTACCCATGAAGACTCACTTCTTGTATTTTCTAAGCATGGCTCTGTCTGAAAATCTGGGAGAACAGGGGCTCCCAACCCCATGTGGTGGTGGGAAGAAGCATCTGCAAATTCCCGGGGTCTGCAGAGCATTTTGTAGGTGGTCAGTGCTGTGGCATGAATGCCTTTGTGAGCTCACAACACTTTAGGGGGCCTCAGAACCTCAAGCATTACTTTAGTCTTTCCTTTCTACCTTTCTGCCTTTCTCAGTAAAGGCTGTTATTAAGTAACATATTCAGGTGGGTCAAGGGCAGAGTAACCGAGAGATCTCAGCAAGGATGAGGGAGATTCAAGGAGCTGGCATTGTGTGACTGGGAACAGAAAAGCCCTCAGGCAGGCAGGTGGGTCACAACTGTTGCCTTCAGATTTCTGAAGGGCTGCCTTGGTGGGAGAGGGGGTAGTTCAGTTCTGTGGGGCTCCAGGGGGCAAAAGTCATAATAAATGAGTAGAAGTCACGGAGAGGTGGAGCTTGCCTCTAGGTAAGGAAAGCTAATCTGTGATTGAGAACAATAGCATGGGCTGCTCTTGGAGGCAGTGGGAGCCCTGTCACTGGAGGTATTCCGCAGGGCTGGATGTTTGTTTGCTATGGGTGCTATAGTGGAAATTATCAAACTGGGAACAGAGACATTAAGGGCACATCCAGCTTGGAGCTCCATTTCTCTCCTCTGCGTCTTTTACAGACAGAACGCTAAGAATAATGCTGCTGCATGGTGAGGACTGAGCCAACTCTTACTTTGTTCAACAAATAAGCATTGGAGGGTCTCTAGTTCCACAGAAAAAAGGCAAATGAAGAGGACAGAAGAAGGAGAGAGACATTCCCACCCCAGCAGCCCCTATGCTGCAGAGTTGGGCACCAGGGCCTGCCCGGGCCCCATCACTAGGGACAGCCCCCAAAGCTGGCTAGCCTGGCCTCTCCAGCAGCCTAACGTTGGGAGCTATGCTGGCCTCACAGACCCTCTGTGATCCCACACTTTGCCCAGTCTGGTGTCTCTGAGTCTAGAGTCAGCTTACCCAGGAGCACTGGGTATCTCTTGGCTGTGTAGAGGTCCTTTGCTGTCTGCCAGACATGCAGGGTTTGTGGGGGAGGATGGGCCCCGGAGAGAGAAGGACAGGCATTACTAGCTTAAATCAGGGGTGAGGTGGGGGGATGGTTGTAGAGGCTGTGCTGCAGGGAATGGACCATGGACCAGGTGTAGAGTGAGGTTCCCTGGGCACAACCCTGGGGCAAATGACACAAGGCCTCGCTGTGTCTCAGTCTCCCCAGTCATAAAGAGGGCTATGGCTTTCCCTACCTCTCAATGAATTATGTGGCTGACACATAGGAGGCCCTCAACATACACTCGTTGATGGAAAGGATTATTATCATTGTTGCTATTATCTTTTTGTTAGTCCCTCCTCATGGTTCTCATTTTAAGTAACCAAAGGTGACACCTATCTTGGCCAAATTTAATCATTCGAAAGCCCAAGGTATGAAGAGGGAATTGTGTGTGAGCGCTCTACGCAAGCTTTGGTCAGACACCCGAGCTTGTCCTGCAGGTGGGGTGAAGCCCAGTCCTGAGTCTCCCATCTGTCTATGTGGGCATGAAGATGGGTGCCAGGGAGAAAGCAGGAGAGAGGTAGTACCTTGGTGGTCCTGGAACCGGGCATCCTTTAGAGTCCTGACCTGCCACTGAGGAGTGTGAGGTGAGAGTGTGCCTTGGGTCCAGCCACAGAAGCCATCTTCGAAGTTGCAGTAAAAACCCACAGGGAGTTTCCCTATGGAGAGAGCAGAGAGGCACAGTCATTTCCAGGACCACTAAAGGCAAAATATGCCAACACCAAGTCGAATTAGCCAGGCATGACCAAATTATCTTCATTAGTAATATAGCTGCCCAGCCAGAACGCTGGATGACTAATGACACTGAGAAACCCCTAAGCCCTAACTGATGCCTGTGCTGGTTTACAGTTTTCTTATCTTCAGAAAGCAAAATAGGAAAAATAACTCTTCAGCATGGGTATCGTTAGTCCAGTTGCATATCTGACAAAGCAGAGGCTCAGAAATGTGAAGCAACTTGACCAAGGTCACACAGCTAGCAGGTAACCCAGTTAGGACTTGAACCCAGGTCTTCTGCTTCTAAATTCTGTACTCTTTATACTGATCCACCTTGAGTGTGACCCCAGGAGAAGCCACTGTATAGCTCACTACATTTCTAACGGTTGACACAATGTCCAGAGTGTGGTAATGGTTGTGGTAGTGTTGGCTGGGGGTTTGTGTGGGTCCGTCAAATTACCTGTCTGCAGAGACACATATGGCTCAAAACTTTCCATTTGCTTTCCTTTATCTCCCAACCTTCCCTTGCAGTTAAGTGAAGACATCTCATGTGCTCTGGCCAATGAAACGTGAGTGGAAGTGATGTGTCTTCTCTGAATTAAGGCTGCGAAAAGCCCTCGTGTAAATCTCTGGTCTCTCTGTTCCTTTGCTGAAACAACCAATGAGAGTTCTTGTTCCTAAGGGTGACACTATATTGATGGAAGAGCCTCTGCCAGCCTGGGTCCCTGAGTGATCCTGTGGAGCAGAGGCCCCTCCCACTTCCACCCTTATTGGATGGGTACTGTAAATGTTATCCCAAGCCACTGACATATGGGGTTTATTCCTGCAGCATAATCTAGCCTATCCTGCCTGATCAAACAATCCCTGTCATTGGGGCCTCTTTATATCACCTGTGGGCTCAGCACAAAGGGCATGTCATCTTTTTCTCTACATCAGACTGATCTCAGGTCCCACTGAAGAGGCCACAGTCAGCTTTCTAGACTGTGTATTTCCCAACTGCCCACAGAAGGAAGAGGAAAGGATAAGAGGGTGAGAGAGAGAGCTCACTTTCTCCAGCTCACTCTGAGCATGGCTCCAGGAAAGGCGCTCAGCCCTGAGGAGCTAGTGGGCTATTCCAGGCGATTCCGATGGCCCCCAACACCTCCCAGCCTAGCTGCGGAGAAGCCTGTGTCTCCACGTGGGAGGAAAGAAGCTCTCTAGCTGAGACCCACAGCACTGCATGTCCTTCCTCTGTCTCAGCCTTCTTGGCAGCAGCAGGCTGACAAAGAGGGCCCTAACGCTTCCTGGCTGTGACAGCACCTTAGTGAATTATTACTCATTTCCCCCCGATTCTCTGTGCATTTCACACAGAGGCAGAATTATAAATTAAAGCAGGCTGTCACTGGCTTTGAGCATCTCTTCCCGTTTATACCCCCCTGAAGGAATCATTTCCCCCCAAGCCCCACATGTTTCTCTGATTAAAAATCCCAAAGCTAAGAAGAACTTTCTGTTTTATTTTTTATTCCCCCCGCAAGGGATCCCACATCTACTTCTTTTGCAGAAACCAACTGGTGGAAGTGACCTTCTCATGGAGTGTCCTTCACAAGTGAGTTTTAAAAACCAAGGCCTGACAGGGCCCTGTGGCTCACACCTGCAATCCCAGCACTTTGGGAGGCTGAGGCGGGTGGATAACCTGAGGTCAGGAGTTCGAGAACAGCCTGGCCAACATGCGGAAACCCCGTCTTGACTAAAAATACAGAAATTAGCCGGGCATGGTGGTGGGCGCCTGTAATCCCAGCTACTTAGGAGGCTGAGGCAGGAGAATCGCTTGAACCCAGGAGGTGGAGGTTGCAGTGAGCCAAGATTGCACCACTGCACTCTAGCCTGGGGGACAAGAGCAAAACTCCATCTAAAACAAACAAACAAATAAGCAAAAACAAACAAACAAATAAAATACCCCAAGGCCCACGATGGAAGATTCCAGTGGGCGAAGGATTCCTGGAGGAACGAGGAGGCCGGCCTGAGGTGGAAGATGCACAGTACGTCACTCCCTCCTTACCCTTTCAGGAGGCAGAGGGAGAGAACTGAGCCTGGATCATGGGTTTTGGTATCACAACAGCACTGGAATCCAGACATATGGGCTCTAGTTCTAGCCTCACCACTTTCTGCTTTGTGACCTTACATAAGTCACTTCTTCCTTAGAGCCTCAGGTTCCTTATCTGTAAAATGGGGCAATATTAGTGTCTATTTTACTGAGCTGGTTTGAGGATAAAGTAGGGGAGACACTGTGGAAACACTTTGTAAACAGCTCAGCTAGAGAGGTGCAAATGTAAATTGGTGGTAGTATTATTAATTGCCATTCATACCTAACTTGGAGCTAGCTCATCAGAGTATGGCTGAAACTGACAGCAAGTCCCTGGCTGGCTCTCTGGAAATGCCTGTTGGAGGCTGCATATGTGATAGCTCTGCCTATGCCTTTAGGCCGGACAGGATTGAAGAAAGCCATCAGCATTCTCTGTCTCTGGAATCCCATTCTTGTTTCAGCTTTGCATAGAATCCAGGGTGGGCTGGGAGTGGAAACCCCTTTTCTTTCTGGCTGATTCAATAAAGGGAGAGGAGGCAGGCAAAAGAGCAAGACAGGCCAGTGGACAATTGATGTGGCAATTAAAACCCCTAAGGGAGGAAGGAGAGCCGAGGATTTCCATGATTGTAAACTCATCAGGGCAGTGTACTCAGCCAGAAGCCACTCCTGAGGAAGCTGGTGGGGTTAAGGTTAAGAGTCAGAACAAAGACCCCTGTGGATTAGGCTGCAACTGGGAAATCACTACTAAGGGCAATTGCTGAGCAAAAGGTTGGCCCACAGGGTTGGCTCTAATGGTATCAACTCATCCTCTAATCATCCTTTTCTCTTCCCATCCGCCCCAAGCTCCTACTCAGTCAGCACATTGGAGGACTTCAAAACTTATCTGCTGAACAAAATGGGAGTGGGCTCAATCCTCTAACTCTTTGCCACTCAAAATGTGGTCCAGGGACCAGCTGCAGCCTCATCACCTATGAATCTGTAAAATGCGTGGAATCTCAGGCCTTGCCCCAACCCACTGAATCAGAATCTGCATTTTTAAGAGGCTCCCTTAGTGACTCCTGTGCACCTCAAATTTGGAGAAGCACTGTTCTAACCAACCCCTTTCTTGGGCTGTAGCCAGTTATTTCATTGGCTGCATGGCCAAATAGCGCTGTGGGTAGGTCAATCAATCCCGCAACATTTGGCAATTATGACACCTGATTCCACTCTAAGAGAGACAAATTGGTAGAGTCATGGAGCTGTGACCTCAGCAGCAGCTGTGGGAGCTGCCAAGTATAAACTCCAGGCCAAATGACACTACTTCTTTTCCTTCCTGCGTGACAACTCTGTTAACATTTTTGATAAATATGTGCTATACATTTTCTTGAAAATATACAGTCATGGGAAAAAATACTAGAAGAAATACATCAAAATATTATAGTTATCTCTGAATGTTTGAGAGGGAGGATTATGGGCAATAGTTATTTTCTCTTGCGTACATTTCTAGATTTTCTGCATTTTACAACCAGTATGTTTTATCTTACAATAAAGAAATACACTTTGAAAACACTGTTTTTGCCTGGCAGGAAGAGTATCCCCAGCACATGAGATTATCGAGTCCATGGTGAAAAAGTGATCTGTCTGCAATACTCAGTGAATCACTGACCCATCCAGGGAATGAAGTGGGGACACCTGGCCCCTTTCTGGGGCGCCACATGCCATCAAGGCCATTGGCCAGAACACAGAGAGAGTCACGAAGACCCCCTTTAGTGCATTACAGCATCTGGGATCTCTCACTTGGATTTGGCCATGTTTAATTAGAAATGCAGGAGTGGCTGTGTTGGAGAGAGGACCAAGAGTAGTATGTTGGGTTGTGGGTTTGGAGGAGAGAGTACAATGGACAGATGAGTATCATGATTGGCTAGAAAAGGGCAAGGGAATGTCCCCTCCATCTCAGGCCCTCCACTCATCTGGGACAACTCTTAGAATTTTTAAGGGCTCCAGAGAGATCCAGTTCCATTGCCCAGATTGAGTCTGGTCATCTGTTTGCAGTCCCAGCCTGTGCAGGAGACTCCCTCTGGGAAGGTGTGGTGAGTTGAGGCTGGCCCTTTGGTAGGGGGTGTTGATTAAATGTAACCTACTTTCCCCCTCCAAATTCCAACCATGGCAGGGTTTGGTCAACTACCCTGGCCCAAGATCAAAGACCCTCAGGAAGATTCTTTAGAGGACCTGGCCATCCCTAACAGAGCTGCAGTGTGAACACCTGCTCAGAGGAAACATTTTAACAGGTTCCAGACCACCTGGGAAAGAGCTGGTGTAGTCAAGAATATTTTCCTATGATATTGGTGTTGATTCTGGAAACCATCCCCATGAAAAAAACAATAACATGAATAATACTGGCTAACATTTACTGAGCACTTACTTTGTGCCAGGAGCTGCTCCAAACACTTCCTACTTGTTTCTCAGACAACAGAGTGTTAGTGGGCATCACGTTACAGATGAGGAACCTGAGACCCAGAGGGGAAGGCCCATGATCTGAACCCTTCTACCCCCAGAGAAAGGCAGTAGCAGAGCCCTGGACCTCCTTGTCTCTTCCTGGCCCCTTCATCCTGGGTGTGTCTGTGGCTAGGTTCAGAACTTAGCACAGCTAAGTGCTGGAAGCTCGTGAAACAGAGTTTACCCTGCATGGTTCAGAATGTGGCTCTGAAGTCAGACTGAGCCTGAATCACTGCTCAGCTGGCTATCAGTTTGATCATGGACAACCACCTCTGCGAGCTTCAGCTTCCTTGTCTCTAACAAAGATGGGTACAATAGCATCACATAGGAGGCTGTGAGGATGAAGCAAGTTCATACCTGAAAAATACTGAGAACAGCTCCTGACTCATAGAGTAAAGCCTCAACAGGTAAGCTGGTGTTGTTGCTGTTGTTATCTTCATGGGAATCGTTTTCAGAGTCAACATTAGTGTGATGAGGAACATAGCAAAAATGCCAGAGAGGATAAGGCACAAAAATAAGAAAAAGGATATTTTCTAAAAGTTCTGCCAAGATCTGAGTGGGAATAACTCTCCTGAGTTGAACTTCCCTCCCAGCAGCTGCTTTCTGTAGCCAAGAACACAGTGGGGGTGTTCTCCAGGGTGGAGGGGTTACTCTAACAGCTTGTCAGAGCCGCTTTTCAAATGTGGCTGAAAAAGCCTCTGGGCCCCAGGTTCTTGCCCTCAGCGCCTGAAGCAGACTGCCCTGAAGCTTGGAGCTGGCCAGGAAACCAATAATGGTAAGCTTTGGAGTGGTGGGAAACGCCCTGAGCCCTTAGTAATGGGCTGGATCCTGAAGACTCAGGGCTCTAATCTGTCCCTGACATGCTGTGTGACCCTGAACAAGTCCATTGCCTTATCCGTGCCTTCATTTTCCCAATTGTCAATCAGGGCATGGCCTGCCTGACCTGTGTCCCAGCTGGGAGGTGGCTATCAAAAAACTTGAAAAAGGTAATCATGAAATCACACAGTTCAGAGGCACTGCTGGAAACATTGCAGACACAAATAAATAGACACACACAGGTGCCTGAACAGGGCATTGTGGGCAGGACTGGCTTCACTTTGGGCCATATGTGTAGTGAGAACTCTATGAGAAAGGCCAGGAGCGGAACAGAACAGGGCAAGTAAAGCCCTTCCCTGTAACTCTTTGCTGAGTTTTATCTAAAAACATACAACTATTCCATTATAATTGGAAAACTTCACTTGAAAGTTTTGTATAAAAATGAAGTTTTAAAAATGGGAAAATGGATGTCTTTATTGCTTAATTTAAATTAGAATAAATGAAACCTTCTCCACCCCCACAAAGGGTCCAGATGACTAGGGACAGAGGGCCCTATTTAAAAGGTATTTTGGAAACCTTCTTGCAGGCCAGTGGGGTCTGCATATCTGGGAGGTGAGGCATTTGCTCCGGTTCTGGGCCCCACCCCAGGCACCATTCTGCCTCATCCTTCCCCAGTCCTGTCTGGATTTCACTCTCCGTCCCTGTGTGGAGCTTTCAGTGCTTTGAGGGAAGATGCCAAGTTATTCATCTCTGCTTCGGGATCTGGCACGTTTTCCAGCTCCCTGTAGGTATTCTGCAAGTGTTGGTTGTTTCCTGGCAAAAACATCAAGGGCTCTGGAGTGATTACTTCTGGAGAGGCAGCTGCGGGGAGCACCATGTTCAATGCAGGAGCACCAGTTGGGAGTCTGCTCCGCCCTGACTGCCAGTGGGGCCTCGGCAGTTTGTTTTCCCCTATGGAGTCCAAGTTTCCAAACTCATTCTTTCCTCTCATCAACAAAGAGTCAGTGAGCACCAACGCTGTGCCAGGAATCGTGAGAGGTATTGCTACAGCAAAGATGACCAGACTCAAACCACCCACAGAGAGGAAGAGAGACACGGAAATCACCTCCATAACACATAATGGATGCATGCCCACTAGGATGGCTAAAATTAAAAAGACAGATAATATGACATGTTGGCAAAGATATGGAGAAAGTGGGCCCCTCGTAGGCTGCTAAATGCCCAGAATAGGCAAATCTATAGAAATAAAGATTGGTGGTTGGTTCAGGCCAATGGCAGGGGGGTTGGAGCAAAATGGGGAGAGATACTATGGGTTTCTTTTTGGGGTGATAAAAATGTTCTAAAATAAAATTGTGATGATGGTTGAACAACCCTGTGACTACATGGAAAACAGGGAATTATACACTTGAAGTGGGCGAATTGTATATGAATTGTATCTCAAAGCTATTCATGAAAAGTAATGGCAGTGACGATGTTTGGATGGATCTACTGGATTGTGGGGGAAGGGTTCAGAGGGAGAAGAACCAATGGTACTTGTGGAGGACCGTCAGGGAGGCTTTCTGAAAGAATCGACTCAGGGTGAGTCTTGAAGTAGATGTGACTCGAGAAAGGAAAGGGGAGACCATGTGAGCAAAGCCATGGAGGCATGAAGGATCTGGAAGGTGGTTCCATATGGCCGGAGCTGGGGTGCATGGAGGAGGGAGAGGATGAGGGCAGGTGGGGAATGAGGCTTGGAAGGGGAGGGAAGTCTGGGCATGGAGGACTTCCGATGTCACATTAGAGCTGGGCTTTATCCTGCACGTTTTCTCTGTGCTTTAAGGATGCTGACAGCATAACTTATAAGATTTTGTTTGGTTCTTGACTTATATGACTATAGACCAGGTTATTTCTAGACCACAAATCTTAGCTCTCCCTCTTGAAGACTGTGTGGCTTTGTCATGAGAGGAGTCACAAGTGTCATTGGATATCGGGAAGGCTGTCCATGCTCTCATGCCGGGGGTAATGGGGACAATAGGGGGTTATGAGCATGGACTGGGCTGGGGCAGGGTGGGGTAGCCCCATCTACTCACGGCATATCTGGCTCTCGTCTTCTCCCTGGGCGCAGTCCTGGTGGAAGTCACAGGCCTGCCCAAGCTGGAGGACTGTCCCATTCCAACAAGTGAAGGAGCTCTGCAGGGCCATCTTGGAGCCTGGGGATGTTCCTGGAGAGCACACAGACACACAACCATGGTGAGTTTGCATGGTCCCAGGCACCAGCTGGCCTGATGGGTTGGTCCCGTGGGCAGGCTGTAGGGACAGCATGATCCTGCCCTGCCATTCACATCCCAAGGCCTGACTGAGCCATCTGCATCTCCATCTGGCCACACCCAGGGCCAACACCAGCAGGTGAGAGGGGTCAAAGCCCCTTATGCTCATCCATGGCCTGCTGGGGTATCTTACTTTCTAGGATGGTGAGCAGCAGAGTGGTCCATGTTCCCTCCACGACATTCCCCCTCGGTGGTCCTCAAACCCATGACTTTAGTGTGCCAAGTGGATGGCCTCCAGGTGGAGTCTCACCTGCACAGACAGCTCCACCCTCAAGGTCAAATTTGGGGTACCAAGAGGTGGATCTGGTCTAGTGCATGTCCCCCATGTTCTTGACCCCAGGTTCGACCACTGGAGTGACATTGAGAAGATTCTAGAAAGATGCAGTACTTTCTGTTCTGGAATGCAAAGAATACCATCATGCAAGCCTGGGCCTCAGATCTGGACTTGGCTTCTCCTGCCTTGCTGTATGAAGCTGACCATGTCCCTTCTCTGTGTGGTCCCTGTCCCCTCCTCTATCAAAGGAGGGATTTCTATTAGATTGTGAAGGTTTGCTCTAGTCTGAAATTGTTAGATAATTAATTTTATCCAGAGGGGGAAGGGACGGGGGCAGTTTATAATGAGCATACACAGTTATTAGTTTCTGGATTAAGAACAATACATTTTGATAATGAATTAACCTGTGATCACTCACATCTTTGCAGGCCCCAGAGATTCAGACAGCAGAAAGGAGAAGGCTGGCCTGACTTAGCCTCCCTGACCAAATGGACGGCTTTGCCTGGGAACCACCTCACAAGAGCCTGGCTGGTGCCTCCTGCTACTCAGCTCTTGCCTGGTGTCAGATGGGGAGCCTCTGGCCCCTGTGGAGATGAGCAGGTAGGGCTCACCTGGGTCAACACCCCGCATGTGCCTGCTTTACCCTCTGCCTTGTTTTCTAGCTTTATCCCAGTCATAGCTGGTGCTAAACCCATCTCAGTGCTCGGGGCAGTGGGGGGAAGAAGAACTAGGACCCCACTTGGCTAAGTCCCCCAGCCTCTCTGAGCCTCACATGGGGGTGCGGCCTTTCCAACTCTGGCTGCAAATCGAACTCAACTGATTCTGATGCAGTACTCTCCAGGTTAGGTGATCTTTAATATCTAAAATTCCATGATTTCCTGGTTCAAAGGACTCTTCCCAATAGCACTGAAACTAACATGAAGCCCGACTTGTTTACTTCTGGAATTCCTCCATCTACTTTAGCACATCCGGCCCTGTGAGGAAGGTAGACAGGTCTTTTTTTTTTTTTTTTTTTCTTTTTTTGAGATGGAATCTCACTCTGTCACCCCGGCTGGAGTGCAGTGGCCGGATCTCAGCTCACTGCAAGCTCTGCTTCCTGGGTTTACGCCATCCTCCTGCCTCAGCCTCCCGAGTAGCTGGGATTACAGGCGCCCGCCACTTTGCCTGGCTAGTTTTTTGTATTTTTTAGTAGAGACGGGGTTTCACCGTGTTAGCCAGCATGGTCTCAATCTCCTGACCTCGTGATCCGCCCGTCTCAGCCTCCCAAAGTGCTGGGATTACAGGTTTGAGCCACTGTGCCCGGCTGACAGGTCTTGATGTCCATTTCCTAAGCGGGAGAACTGAGGTCAGAGAGGTTCAGTGGCTTATCTCAGGTCACACTGCTGGTATGTGGGATTCACACCCAGCCTCTCTGACTGTAAAGGCGCCCTCTCCATCTCATGGAAGGAGATGCTGGAGGTGGCCTTGTGCCCTCCTTTCTAGGGTAGTCCAGATAAGGCAAAGTTTGTCAGATGACAGCAGATGGGCACCCAGTGTTGTCCACCCTGCCTCCTGCAGGGCATTCTCTGCAAATAGTGGTCATGAGAAAACAGGTCCCACTTCCTTCCAGGGAATCACATCTGCGCCCTTTCACCGGCTCTTCAAGGTCCCTGTGATCTGGGCCTAAATTGCCTTTGACTTTCCTTCTGCCTCTCCTTATGGACTCTGTGCTTCAGAATCCCAGAGGGAGATGAATATGGTCATGTGATGATGCACCGCATACTCTGCTGATTGAAATCCTCCTGTCCGTCCAGGTCCAGCTCACAGACACTGCCTGTGACAATCCTCACACCTTCCTCCCCACCTCCATTTGGGGAGCTGCTAGTTCCATGCAACCTGCCTCCAGAAAGCTTGTGCACGATCCCATCATCTCCATCAAGTTGTTTGAGCGTGGCATTCCCTCAGCCTTAGCCAGTGCCTGGCCCCTAGGAGGGTTCATGAATAGCCTGAACGTCAGGTTACCTATCTTTAGTGGGTTGAATAGCAGACCCCCAAATAGCCACATCCGTATCCCCGGGGCCTGTGAAAATGTTACCTATGTGGTAATAGAGGCTTTGCTGGTGTGATTAAGAATCTTTAGCTGGAGACATTAACCTGGAATATCCTGGGTTGGGGAGTGTAGGCAACGTGATGACCAGACAAGAGAGTCAAAGTAAGAAGTAGGGACTGTGAGGGTGGAAGCAAGTGTTTGGAGTAGTGGGAGGAAGGGGTCACAAGCCAAAGGGTGCCGGCAGCCTCTGGAAGGTGGAAAAGTCAAGGAAATGATTCTCTTAGAGCCTCCAGGAGGAACCCGGCCTGCCTGATGACATGACTTTAGTTCAGTGAAACTAACTTCATACTTCTGCCCTCCAGAACTGTAAAAGAACAAATTCATGTTGCTTTATTACGTTCGTGGTAGTTTTTACAGCAGCAAAAGAGAATGAACACTCCATCGAAACCTGACTCCCGCTGAAATCCCAGACAGCTGAGGCTCCCATCATCGGGAGCCCAGAGTAGCTTTAGATCCACTGCTCAGTGCTCTAACTTGTTTTTGTGACTAGATCTTTGCGGTTCCCTGGACTATTCACCTTTTTCTTACTCACACAGAAGGAAAACCACCACCCCATTTGTCCCTTGGCCTCAAGATAGCCTAAGCAAGATTTCCCCACATAACTTATGGGTTCTAAGTGCAGGAAAACGCACAACAAAAAATTACCCTTGAACAATTCAGGTTTGGACCCACTTACACATGGATCTTTCTCAAACCAACATGAACGGAAAATACAATATTTTTGTGCTTGGCAGGGCTGATTGAGCCTGTGCAGATTTGGGGGTCCTGGAACCACTCCCTGACTGTATGGAGGCCATATTCTCAGACAAACACGCAGGATCAAAGTACAGAGGGAATGGCAGAATGAGACGCAATGCTCATTTTAGGACGTAAAATGTCAAATTCATTTTGCAGCTTTAATTCTGTGCATCAATTCTTCACCTGCCACTCATGTCCTCTTGGAAGCTGGAAGGTAAAATGCTTTCTGCACACACTGGTGCTGGTCCCGTGGAAGGTGTGGTCTCCCTGAAACAGTGGGAGGAGATGCCCCCTTGCCTGGGGAGCTGATGGGGCTGTGTCCCAGGAGTCAAGAGCACCCCAGAAGCAGCACCTGCTTGCTCACTAAACTTGTAACAACCAGGACAGGGCAGTTCTGTTCTTTGTACTTAGTAGGAGAAAATGGGGAAGCCCAGTGCCTGTCCCCTCTGCCCCTCTTTCAAGGCCCAGGTATTTAGGATCACAAGAAAAGTTCTCACATTTGCTTGGTGATTTTGTTTCCAAATCACTTTTTCTTATGCCTTATCACAGGAGACCATTAAATATAGTTAAGACCTTATTACCTTCACTCCCAGCCCTGCCACAGAAAACATAAGTGAACTTAAAAATCGGCCAGGCACGGTGGCTCACGCCTGTAATCCCAGCACTTTGGGAGGCCAAGGTGAGCAAATTACGAGATCTGGAGATCAAGACCATCCTGGCTAACATGGTGAAACCCCGTCTCTACTAAAAATACAAAAAATTAGCCGGGTGTGGTGGCGGGCGCCTGTAGTCCCAGCTACTTGGGAGGCTGAGGCAGGAGAACTGCTTGAACCCGGGAGGTGGAGGTTGCAGATCGCGCCATTGCACTCCAGCCTAGGAGACAGAGTGAGACTCCATCTCAAAAAAAAAAAAAAGAAAAAAAATCTGTGAGGTCTCCCTCAACCTCTTGGACAAATCTAGACTGTTTCATCCACACCTATGTCCCAGTGTGCATGAGTGTTTCACACACCGATCACCTGTCATTCCTCAAAGAGGTCTTACAGCTTCTTTTACTTTCCTTCATTCTAAAACAGAATCCAATTGTCTAAAGTTCAAAAGCAGGGTCAAAAGAAACAAAGAAAATGCCCAGAATCCCACCACCCTGAGGCCACCATTTTTAACATCTTGGTAGATTTCTCTTTGGTTTAGTTTCTTCTGTCCATGCTTTATAAGTATGTATAGTTGTGTCATATATATAGGCCTTAAAATAATTTAGGTTGTATCACAAGCTTTTCCAGAGGCTTTAACATTTTCCCATAAAAATCCTTTTTAATGGCTACAATATTGTGTGGTATGTCCCATCATTTATTTAAACATTATTCAATGATTGGGCTGCTAGTCTGTTTATGATAACACTTTGAAGAATATCTTTGAGCATAAACCTTTGCCTGCACTGCAGATTATTTTCATAGGATAGATTCCCAGAAGTGGAATTACTGAATCAAAAGGTATAAACATTTTAAAGGCTCTTAATACAGATTGCCAAATTGCTTTCTAGAAGTTAATCCAATTTACACTCTCCACCAGCTGTTTTCATACATGTACATCCCTCATACTACATCATGGCCAACCCTGAGTATTACCAGAACTTTTATTTTTAACTAAAGGTATCCCCCTGCTGTTTTATTTTGGATTTCTTTGATAGCCAGTGAAGTTGGATTTTATTTTTATTTATTTATTTATTTGTTTTTTTCGAGGCAGATTCTTACTCTGTGGCCTAGGCTGGAGTGCCATGGTGCAATCTCAGCTCACTAT